GTTTAATCTGAATGTTTTGTGTTCTGTCTCTTAAATAAACATCATTAAGTTTCGTGTCTTTGGAAGAAGTGTTATTATATCCGAAACTTCATTTTACTCCTAAACACGAGAAGTTATTTAACAAACTTCATGAAACTTTATTTGTTTCGTGGGGACTTATGAATCTTTATTTGATTTATTCTATCAAGACAAAATCAATTATGGATATTTTCCAAAACTGATGGTTATTCGAAAGGTCTGCACCCCAACCGTCTGATGACAACGTGGAAGAGGATCGTGTGACCGAGAAAATGGTCCACTACCCCATGATCACGCATGACGTGTTAGTTGAGAGGACATGCATTAAATGCCCATACCTCCATACTTGAGTATCTTCTCTCTCCACATTGAATGTAGAATGATTCTTTTTTATTTGATATTTGCCTTATCAGATGAATTTCGACAGAATTTTACCACAAATGCAAAAAGTGATCAAACATACCAAGGTCATATCTGGTTTTTCACCCACACACTTCAAATTCAAACTCCGGGTGACTCATATTGAATACCCGACCTAGAGAAACTACCCATACACTATTTAACCTAGACTCACTCATCCGTTAACCTTTTCCTTCTCTTACACGTTTCTCATCATCATCTTCCTCCCAAGAAAACCTTTTCTCTACTCTCCATACTTCTGAAATTTCTCTGCCTCCCCATCTTCAACACAATGGCAAACAAATCCAGATTAAAAGCCTCCAATTCTTAGCCTGAAAACACCAACAAGGTAGAGTTGCCTCTGCATCCTATCTCAGACGAGCAGTTCATCCAATCAAGGGCACGGTTTGTGCTCTGTGGCTTCATGTGGGACGTTCATGGCTTCTGCCAATACGTTCTCGACAAAAAATTTGGTGAAAAAGTCGTTGCTCTACTCAAAGATTGCGGCCTTTACAACTTCGTCACTCACACTTACCAGTCATTCTTTGCATTTGATGTCGCTCAATTATATCTCAATGCAAAGGTTTCCTCGGATGCCACAACCACTACTTCTACGGTGAATGGGAAGGATATATCCGTGACTAGTAAAGACATTCAGGAGGCCTTCAAGTTTCCGAAAAGAGATGATACTTATCATTCAAACTTCTCTCAGCACACCTTTGATCAACAGGCCTTCTACGAAAGCATTCAGAATGTGCAATCTTCTGAGACGATCGAATGGCCCTTGCGGAAAAAAAGTGTTTCAAGCTTGATTATGAGTTTACAGTTGTAACACCCCGTGTTACGGCCTTCAATCCCGGATTAATTATTTAATTAATCCCGTTAATAATAATTAAATATGATTTAATTCGGTTAGGTTTCCCTTTAATTAATTAATAAGGCCCACCATGAACCGTGGGCCCTTGCCTAAATTAGAGCCTTAAGCCTATTAGGAATAAAGAAAGTAAACCTTTTACTATTCAGATTCTGATTAGGAATCCTAGACCTAGTTATCTATTAGGAATAAAGGAAGTAGGTCTTTTACTATTCAGATTATGATTAGGATTCTCTTTAATTAATTAATATGGTCCACTATGGACCATGGAACCCAATCCTTTGTCCCAAAAGGAATAGAATTAGCAAGCCTATAATATTAGTTCCTAATTAGGACTCCTAAATATATAAATAGGGGACTTAAGAGGCACCTAGAACCCCCCACCACAATAAACGACTCACCATCCCAAAAGAGCTCCAAGAATTCCCTTAGAAGAAATCAAGAAAGCAAGAAAGCTTAAAGAAAGACCCTTCATAGCCAAGGAATTAATTAAGGCTAAGAGATAACCCATATCTCAACAAAACCTATTTTCATAGCTATGATTCCCCCTTAGGGTTTCCCCCATATTATTGTGTATTGGCGAGATATGATGATTATTATTGATGTTTGATGTGATGATCCCATGAGGGATCTTGATAATCTTGATATTGGGAGATTCTTGATGATTATGGAATTCTTGATGATTATATAGAGCTCTTGATGATTATGTGTTGTTCTTGATAATTGTGTGATGCTCTTGATGTTTATAAGTTATTCTTACCGAATCTTGCAATTAGAAGACGAACCGTATACTTGTTGATATAAAAGTGATTAGAACCCTAGGTTGTATCGTATGATTTTATTCTTGGATTATCGGGTGGGGAAATCGCAGGTTTGGGTGTTGATTATATTTAGAAAAGCATGATAGGTTATGTGCCATTCGTTTCTTGTAGTTGATTCATTAATTGTCTACGTGTTGTCGTTAATTGCGTTGTAAAGTGTCTAAGCATGGTTTCGGGTTCCACAACGGTTCTCGGGGCGTAAAGCGTGTGAAAAGAGTCAGTGGGGGGTAGGGGACCCGCCACCTACCCACGGCCGAGATCTCACTTCCGGCAGCGGGCAGCTGCCCGCCGGCGACCCGCCGCCCGGAATAGTAAAACCGGCGGGCAGCCGGCGGGTGGCCCCCCACCCACCGGCTACCTATTGGAAAATTCCCCCACTCGAGAGTTCGGCTTCCCCGTTTGATGTTCCCTTGATCCCCGTGGTGTCCCAACGGACTCCGTTTATCATGCCTATGTCTAGTTTGATATTTCGGGTACCGTTCGTAGGTTTACGAGTCTACTATATTGCATGCTAGTTGAATTGGTATCCCGTTGACCTAGGTGGAAGGAGTATGAACCCCTTAGGACTATTCTTAGTATGTGATGGATCACGCATAGGTTTTGTTATGCGTTTTCTCCCCCTTCCCAATGTGTAATATGGGTTGCATGTGCTTGCGGTGTGATATGTGTGTGTGTTACCCAATTCGGTTGCGATCGGATTGGTTATCCTGAGCTGCGGTTCAGAAGCTGGCTGCGGTCAGATTGATACTCTTGGGCTGCGGTCCACCGTTTGGTTGCGATCAAACGTTTCTATACGAGCTGCGGTTCGTCCTCTTTCCTGGCTGCGGTCAGATGACATTCTCTTGGGCTGCGGTCCACTGTTTGGTTGCGATCAAACACTATGATGAGCTGCGGTTCATCGGTCGGTTGCGATCGACCCCTCCGTGTTGCGATACGGGGCAGGGTGCTGCGGGGCCGTGTCAGAGCTTTATGCGCTGACCCTCATGTATGGGCATGCGATTGGTCCTGTGGCGCCAACAAAGTGTGCTATGTGTTGAGATATGGATGAGTGGTGATCATGAGTGTCTTGGGGGATGTGACTACGGGATTTAGGTTGGGGATCGTTTATGTTGAGTTATGACTATTGTTTATGCTTTGCCTTATCTGCCTTAACTACCGTGAACTGCATATGCTCGTTATAACTGTTGCTTGTGTCTGGCCTTATCTGTCGAGTCATTCCCGGTTTTAAAGCTAGAGTTCGTAGGATATATCTTCATGCTCAAAATGGTTTTCGTATATCTATATATATCTCTATATGTATTGTATTTCAACACGTTGGAGTGGGTTACCAGCATCTCTCGCTGAACAGATATATTTGGCTTTCAGGCACAGAAGATTAAGTCACTGGAGCGCGCTAGAACTTGGAGTATAGAAGTAGATAGCTTTCCTTTTTGGCCTGCGTGCCACGTTTACGTAATTACGCTTTGAGGATATTAGTTAATTAGCCTGTGCACTTGGGTTCTCTAGCCCAGGTGTGGCATATAGCACCCCGTACGCTTGTATTTATTTCTTGGGACTTAATGAGATTCTACCTTTATTATAAGTTTTAAAAAGTCTTGAAAATCTGGGGTGTTACAACAGTGGACATCTTCAACAAAATTGTAGAGCACAAAACCTCAGGGATGGATGATGTGTTAAAGGATAAACTGAAGATGATCCATGCATTTCTGAATGGGTATAAGGTTGATTGGTCGAAAGTTGTCTTCGACTTTCTCCGACTGGAAGTGATTTTTGGAAAGATGCCGAAAGGAGATATTTGGCGAAAGATTGGCTTTAGATTCATGATCGGACACCTTCTAAATCACAAGAAAGTTGTTCTCAGAGAATGAACGCCTCCTGGTCTGAAAGTTTGTCACATGAAGTCCAAACCACCTGGATATGACAAACATCGTGCATTAGAGATGGGCGTAGATGTGGCAACCCCAACTGATCAAGGCTTAAGATAGTCAAAGCGAAAGAAGGTCTCGGATCCAGAACAACCATCCAAGAAAAGACGAAAACATGAGAAAAAGACTAAGGCAATTACGGATGAAGTTTCTGTACCAGCCCCATCTTCTGCTCAGCCTGTTTTGGAGAAAGAAATGCCTCAATAGGAAACATCTTTGGTTGAAGTTGCTCCTAAACTCTCAACAACAGCAGTGTCAAAAGACCCAAAAGGAGCAACAAAGAAGAGATCATTCGACAAAAGAGAGGTTGTAAAGAAGCCTTCCTCGAAAGCACAACAAATAAGCAGTTCTTCATCTGAATCAACTCAGATTGAAAAGTCCTCATAAGAAGAAAGTTCAGAACTAAGTCGTGCTGCACAGACGAAAGAAAGATTCAGACCAACTATTGAAAAAACACAGAGAGTGCTACTCAGACTTTCTCCAAGACCCATTGCTTCTAAAAAACCAGAATCAAAGGAGAGGATATATTTTCTCCCACATGATGCTCAGGGGGAAGGAAATACAAGCCAGTTATCAAGGGTCAAACAACTTTCACAAGCACTTGCTCTGGTCCGAAAGACCAAGAAATCTCTTAAACAAAAGTTCACTGAAGCACCAAAAGAAAACAGCCTTCCACAAGAACCGACTATAGCAGAGCAGGTCAAAACGATTCTGACACAAGAACCTGATATAGTAGACAAGGACGAAAGTTTGTCTCTTCTACCAGTTGATCATTTAAGTCTCCCACAAGAACCTGACTTGCCAGAAAAGACGAGAGAAGTGGTCAACACTCAAATAGAAATTCCACCACCATCTCAAGATCAGGTTCTTCAACAAGCAATCTCGAGTGACTATCAACGAGTAATGAGATGGCAGTAGTGGAGAAAATCATCTCTCAATCAGTTTCTTGAGGAGTTTGATACAATGAGAAATGAAGAAGAGTGTACACTTGCATGGATTGGCACTCAGAATGTCTACGAGGCTACAAGACTCGAAACTATCAATTGGGTTTACTCATATAAGCTGACAAATCGCAGTATTGCGAAAGGAAAGGCCCCGATAAGTTTCGATATTAAGAAGCCTCCACTTGATCCGATATTTGAGGCCGAGATGAAGGAGCTTAGAGAAGCAATGCGGTTATCCAAGATAAAAACTGAGCTCGAAAAGTTGCATCAAAATGACCCCAATTGTAGCATAAGCGGGACGAAAGATGTTGAGCCAAGTGATAACATCCCTGAAGCAGACACAGATAAGAGGGGAGAACGAAAGGAAGGTGAAAACCAAGAACAAAAGGAAGGAAACCAGGAAGATGAGAAGGAAGGACATCAAGTTGAAAAGGAGGACGGAGATGAAGAAGAAGAAAAAGAAGGCAGTGAAAATGAATCAGAGAAAGACGATGAGGACGAAGAAGATGATGAAGAGGGAAATGATGACAGCAATCGAGATACAAATGATGATGAAGAAAGTGATGAAAGTTCAGATAATGACAATGATCCCGGTAATGAAGGTGTTGTTGTTATACGAACCTCCGATGTGAAAAACGAAAAAGACTCTGAGCCATAAAATGTTCATCCTGAAAATTCACCATGTGCTCAGAGTAATTCGTCAAATGAGAATCTGAGATCAGCTAGTGATGGCAAAATGGATGCATCACTTGGTGCGAAACATGAACTCTCTAGTCGAAAGGATAGAAATGTTCAATCCTTAGATGATTTTTCACAAACTGAAACAAGGGCAATTTTATCCTTCTTGAAACAACAAAGCGAGGAGTCTCGGATAACCCGTGAATGGTTGCAAGCCGAGAAAAAGGTCGAAAACTCAAAACTCGATGAGCTTTCCAGACACATGAATCTCGTTTTGGTACAAATGAATGAAATTCACACAAGTCAAGCAAATTCAGAACCAAGTCAGCAAAATCAGACTCTTGAAAAGATTCTCAAAGAACAACATGCTCTCAAGCACCCCCACTTTGGTCTCAAGGAGAGAGTTGATCTAGCATGCACAAAAATCAACACTGCCAGTGACAATATCTTCATTATGACTGACTATCAACTCCAGATCTTAAGACTTGTCAAGGAACTGACTGTTGTAGTTAACAATCTCTTGAAGTCCTCCGACCCATCTACTGATGATGCCAAAAAGGGGCAAAATACGGACAAGAAAGATGATAACGATGACGATGAAAGAAGATGAGGAGCAGGTTTTGAAAGCAGACAGAGCGAAAGCAAACAAAACGAAAGGAGTAATACAAAAACGCAGAAGTCCACACCTTCTCCTGCTACCAAGTCAATTCATCCTCCTTCCAATCTTCTTCCACTTCCTTCCACATACTCCTTATACTGAAGAAAGTTTCCTGAGGCATCCATTGTCATCTTATTATCCCTCATCAACCTTTGACGAAGGTTCTTCTTCTCTCTCTGAGTTCATCCTACAAATGAAAAGGCAGATTTGGATCCATAGGACTGTCGAGGAGTAATACAAGAACGCAGAAGTCTACACCTTCTCCTGCTACCAAGTCAAGTCATCCTCCTTCCAAATCTCGACGAAATTCCTTAAGGCCTCGACAGTCCTATGGATCCAAATCTGCCTATTCATTTGTAGGATGAAATCAGAGAGAGAAGAAGAACCTTCGTCAAAGGTTGATGAGGGACAATAAGATGACAATGGATGCCTCAGGAAACTTTCTTCAGTATAAGGAGTATGAGGAAGGAAGTGGAAGAAGATTTGAAGGATATAACATGCCCATATGGCTGAAGAGTAGAGACAATGCAACAAGACAAGAGTATCAAAGAAAGAAGAATGAGAAAATCAAGAAATCAAATGAAAAACTTTGGCTCGAACAAGAAGAAGACATAAAACAGAGAGAACAAGACCTCATTCACTTTCATGAAATAGAGGAGAAAATAAGGGATGTTTCGACAGCTGAAAAGGATGCTGATCTAAGCACAAAACACAATGCCGTGTTCAAAATACATGGAGAATCAGGCAAAAGCTATGTGGAGGGAATGAATTCTATTGAGCTCGTGTCGTGGTGGAATCTCGACATTGTACCAGGACGAAACATCTTCGAAGCCTACAACAATTACATGAGTTACAACCTGACAGAAAAATATGCAGAATTACCTCGATCTAATCCCATCCGAACCTTCAGAGACTTCATCAATAATGACCTGGATATCAAGAAAATGCTCAAAGATCAAAAGGATCGAGATGACAAAGAACGAAAGGAAACACTTCAACAGAAGCAAACACTTTTGAATATGTAATTTTTCTTAATTTCATTATCTTTTTTAACGTTTTTGATTTGAATGAAATTCCTTTTTGCTATCTGTGTTGAGTATCTCTCATGTTAACTTCTTTCCTAGAACTTCTTGTAAACTCAACTATTAGGCTGTTTTGTAAAAAAATTCCTTTAAAGGATATCCTTCAGCCTTATAGCAAGAGTGTAGGTTTTGGCATCATTAAAAAGGGGGAAATTGTTAGGAACAAGTGTAATTAGATTTTGATGATACCAATCTTGCTAGGAATGTAGACCCCTATTTTCTTTCTGGTTTAGAACTTTCGTTACAAATGAAAGCCATTGTAACTCAAATTATGATTCGCACTATGTAGTACTTGAATCTTAGTTGGGGCTAGCATGATAGGTCTACTTGAAGATTTGAAGACAAGCGATGGACGAGAGATCATTGCAGACGAAAGATGAAGGGATCTTGCTCTCGTTTAGATGTCAAATGATAAGAAAGATCATTTGATAACGAAAGAGATGGGCAATCTTTTGTTAGAGACAACAAGTCTAAGTTAGACTTGAAAAGACAATCTTTATCAAGTAAGACAAGAAGAATGTTGACTTTGTCTCTCAACTGGGCAATCATTCTAGACAAAAGGTGTCCTAGGAATAATATTCACAAAAACCAAGGAGCATTAAATGATTAGTACCCTCTTGACAGTGAAAAAGGACAAAAAGCCATGTTGCTTTTTTACATCAACGGCTACACAGTACAGCCACATTAAATGCTCTATGCCCACTGGTCTATACACGTTGGTTAATAGGTTCAAAATTTTCATCTCCCTCTAACAGATGAATTTTTCCTCACCTATAAATACCTCTCTTCACCATTGAAGAAGGTGTTGATTGTTCAACAGATTTTATCCTTAGAAAATCTCTTTAAACAAGTTCATTCATAAGCTTTTCATAATCAGCGTGTTACGTTTGTGAAGTTTTCAAAGAGATTCATCTTAAATCTACACTTCACAAACTTGAAGAAGTCTTGCATCTTTCCTCATGTGAAGATTCATCCAGTCAACAAGACAAGACTTCAACCTGTTGGAGAAAGACACCATTTTCTTTACAACCCTCAACTCTGAAGAATAAGTTGATAGAGGCGGAGTAAACTCGAGGAGTTGAAAAACCTATTAAGTGGTTGTCCGGCTTAGTGATCAAGGAAGCTAGCTTGAAGTAGTTTGTACTAGGAGTGATACTGCAAACCCTTTCACAAGTTGTGAAAGAAGAGTGGAGTAGGCTTTGTTAACAGCGGAACTATTATAAAAATCTCTCTCTCTATCTCTCTTTACTTTCCGTTAATTATCTTTCGTGCATCGCATATCATACTGACCTAACGATATTCTTTCGTAACAAAACTGTGCAAAGTTCAAGTTAAAACGAACTAATTATTCCGTTGTGCATCTCTCCGAAAGGAGTTGCTTTGAAAAATCGAGTAGAATCTAATCACCCCCCCCCCCCTCTTGACTCTCCTTTCGACCCTACCGAGACCAACATTATAAATCCTAAATAACCAAATTCAAATTTTGCATGCTTTTGGAAATTTATGTAACACACTATAAACAAACTATTGAATTGCGTAACGAAAGCAATAAAATAGATAATGGAGTTTTGAGAAAACATATTCGATAGAGGTTGGCCTATTGATTGACGTTCTGTGTTGAGAGTTGCTTCCATTGTTTAATGATTAATGTTTAGCCTGTTTATCTTGTTAATTAAGCTTTTATATTTTGGTAAAATTGGGGGTGTTACACCACCGCCACTACTGCTACCACCGCCGCCACTGCTACCACCGCCACCACCGCCACCGCCACCAACACCACCACATATTTTTATAAGGGTATTTATGTCTTTTAAAATATATTTCATTCTATTCCTTAAACTAACCAAACACTGTAATATAATTCCTAAAGTCTATTCCTTCTGCGAACCAAACAATAGAATACAATTCCTATTCTATTCCTTGCCTATTCCATTCCTTATGGAATAACATTCCTATTACCACACAATTCATTCCGTGAACCAAACGTGCTGTAAAAGTGACTTGGTGTAGTCTTTGGCAAATTATATCATGGATTAGATTAATATTATCAATCTTATCACTTTAATTTGAACCCTTGATTTCTCTAGCTTTGGTTAGTTGGTGGATATCTTTGTTGCTTGAAACCTTGTTTGCAATCTATCTTTAAAGCTTTGTCACATGTTTTGTAAACCGACTGTTTTGTTGTTGAACCTCGTTGCACCCAAGCTTCGGGGACGAAGCTTCTTGTTAGGGGTGGAGAGTGTGACACCCCGAAAATCCGACTCCTTAATTTGGATTAATTGAGAAATTAATCCTAATATAATCCTTGGTGAATTCCTTTCAAAATCCTGAAATTTGATAGTCGAGGGACTAGAAGTTGACTAATTCCTTAGTCAACCATGAGTACCTTTTGCTTTGTCCTTTGTACCTAGCCTTTTGTCTTCCTAGCCTTCTATTAAGGGTAAACTTGACCTTTCACACATGTTTGGTGTTTATGCTTGCCCTAGCAAGACACATTTCATTCATCATCTTTCTAGCCAATCTCCTAAGCTCTCTACCTTCTCTCTAAGAAATCTTCGCTTACTCTCAAAGCTAAAAGAATAACAATCTATCCTTGCAAAGATTCATCCCAAGATCCTACCTTTCTATCTCCCAAGCTTAGGAAAGGGTAAGAACTAAGGTTGTTTAGTGTTTTTAGTTAGCTTTGTTGAGTCTTTATCTAGGTTTGGTGTTTTTCCTTGTGGTTTGGTTGTGTAAGAAGTCTTGGTTGATGAGGAGCTTCAAGGAGAAGCTTAGAAGGGTAGAAAGGAAGCGTTTCTTAGTCTACAAAGGTAACCCATGCTATACAAAATCTATTTTCTAGTTGCTATTGATGATTCTTGACTTCTATTTGATGTTTTTGGTGTATTTGTGAGATTTGACGCATATTCTTGTGATTATGCATGTTTAGAGCTTGTATCTAGGGTTCTTGAATGCTATTGTTTGAGCTATTCTTGGGCTCAAGTCATATCTTTGTTGTATGTGAGGTTTTGGGTGTTTTGGACTTGAACTTGACCTTGGAGATGAAATTCCCCGAAGGGAATTATTTATTGTACAGATGTTCCGCGCGGGGGGAATGACGGGTAGGTGAACCACCCGTCATCCCACCCGTGGGTGATTGGCTTTGTTAGTGTACCTGACGGGCAGGACCACGGGTAGGGACACCTCCCGTGGTTCCACCCGCGGGGTACGTGTTTTGAGGCGTGGTTGGCGGTTCTTTCC